TGTCGTAATACATTTTGTGCGTGTTATTTTCCAATACTGTCTGTGGAATATACTTGTAGTATGGTTCGTGGATGTCTGCCAATTTGTGTTTCTTTGCAAGCTCTTGGTGTATTATATTTGCTACTTGATTGTGTCTATGTAAGTAATCTGTCTGTGCCAAGAGCTTGCAACCAGAAGTGATGTGTTGTATAGTTTCTGGCATGATGTGACATTTTCTGCATGTGTCATTTGTGAGTGTTGTATCTTTGAGTATGTGTTTTCTGTAGTTTTTAGTATTTATGACCTGATCCTGTATGGCAATCATGAATCCTTCCGTCTCCCCAAAGAGGCATCCCCGATCTAACCAGCTGTTTGACGCAGTTTTGTCAACAAAATCCTGGGCCAGGTCGTAAGGATGCCTGCCATGGAGAGCCTTTTGAGCCCATGATTGCTTAATGTTGTCTATGCTTTTTATATGTTGTGTCATGTCTGTATGTTGTGAGTGTAAGTTTAATGGTGTGTTATTTGAGTCTGCTAGAGTTACTGCTTTATGTAACTGTGATGTTTCTTGTTTCTTGTAGAAAAACTCTCGCAGTGACTGTATTTGTTTGTAGTGAAGGTTAACTATGTCAATCAGGCCACGTCCGCCTTCTTTACGTGGAAGGGTTAATCTTTCTGTGGCGGATTTAGGATGATGTTGTTTATGCTTAGTAAGTGTTGTTCTTGTTTTCCTTTGGAGTTGCTCGAGATCTGTGTGAGTCCAATGTATAACTCCAAAAGAGTATGTGAGTACTGGGATGACATATGTGTTTATTGCTTTAACTGTGTGTTTTGCATTTAACTGTGTTCTAAGTATAGCGTTTAACCTACTTTGGTATTCTTTAATTAATCGTTGCTTTATTTGTGTATGTTCTGTTAGTTTGGCCTGTTGGAATCCTAAGTACTTGTAGAACTCGCCCTCTTCCATGGATTCAATAACGTCTCCATTTCCAAGTGCAAAATCTTCTTTCTTCAGGATTCCTTTTTCTATGTGAAGTGTTTTGCATTTGTCTAAGCCAAACTCCATTTGTATGTCCTTAGTGTATGAATGTGTGATTTGTAGGAGTTGATGAAGTTGTTTTTGTGTGGATGCATAAAGTTTTATGTCGTCCATGTACATGAGATGTGACAGTGTAAACTGTGTTGTTTTTTCATGTCTGATATTGTAGCCATATTGCGTGTTGTTTAACATGTTGGATAATGGATTCAGGGCTAGGCAGAACCAGAGAGGACTCAAGGAATCTCCTTGAAAAATTCCTCGCCTAATGAATATTTCGTTTGTTTGTATGGAAGTGTTACTAACCCTGAGATGTAGTGTTGTTCTCCAGTGCTGCATAGTGTTTTCGAAGAATGCAATGAGTGATGGATGTATTTTGTACATGTGTAGAATATGTAGCAGCCAACTGTGTGGAACACTGTCGAATGCTTTTCTGTAGTCTATATATGCCATGTGTATGTTTCTGTGTTGTTTGTGTGCTTGCCGTAGAATGACTGAATCTATGAGTAACTGTTCTTTGCATCCCCTGTGATTTCTACGGCAACCTTTTTGTTGTTCTGTAAGAATGTCGTGTTCTTCAACATGTTTGTATATTTTGTTTGTGATACAGGATGTCAATAATTTGTAGAGTGTTGGAAGACATGTAATTGGTCTGTATTGTGTGGGGTCTGTGGTGTTGTTGTTTTTAGGTTTCATGTAGGTGATGCCCTGAGTAAGAAATTTTGGCATGTCTTGTGGATTGATGATGATGTGTGTTAGATGTTTAGCTAGTTCCTGGTGCAGTGATGTAAACTTTTTGTACCAGAAATTGTGAATGTTGTCTACACCAGGTGTCTTCCAGTTGTGTGTTCTGTTAACAGCGTAGCGAATGTCGTGTATGTTTATTTCAGCACAGGGCATAGTTGGTATGTTGTGCAAGTTTCTGTTCTCCTCCTCGATCCAGCCTGCATCAGCATTGTGTGTAACAGCATTGGACCAAAGAGAAGACCAATAAGTTGTGAGTTCTTCTTCTGTTGGTGTGCCACTGTGCTGTGTATCAGTGTTTGTTTTGGTACTGATTTGTCTGTAGAAAAGTTTTTCATTGTTTGTGAATAATTTATTTTGTTGTTTTCGTAGTGTACATGTTTTGTATCGTTTGAGTCTACGTGCTTTGGCTGCGAGTTTTTGTTTTAGTGTATCGATGTATTCTGTAATGTGTGTGTTGTGATGTTCATGTTTTGTGTGTGTTTTGATTTTCTTGAAAATGTTTTTGAGTTGTTTCTTTAATTTGGGTGTTATGTTGTTTTTAGTGTATTGTGTCAGCCTGCCTAATTGCTGTCTAATGTCATTTATTTGTGTTTCTATTCTTCTCTGCCAGGCAGGCTTGTGATAGGATTGTGTTTTGTGTGTGTCTGTCTGTGAGTGTATTTTCAGTCCATGGTGTGTTACTACTGTGACTGCCCCAGCATAAACTAATGTATGAATGTCTGAGAGTGTAGAAATTGAATGAATGTAGTTTGGTAGTAAGTGAGTGTTTACATAATCTAGTGTTTTTCCTACTGCCTTTGACGTGTTGATTTTTGGTATTCGTGGTCTTTGTGTGGGATCTGTACCAGTATATTTAATGAGTGTTTCCTGAAATATAAGTGAGAGCGTATTAACTAATTCTATGTCTACGTTATCAGTGATGGATGGGGAAGTGCCTGCAGTATCATTAGTGGTACTTGTTGTGTGTGTGCTGTAATCAGTGCTTGTTGCTGGATTATCCTGACAGGTTACGTGATCTTCATTAATGTTAAATGTTTCTGTCTGTTGATGTATTTGATCAGCAACCTGTTGTTTGATAAGTTCAAGTGTTGTTTGTGGGATAAGGTTGTTGTGTATAATTGTTCGTTTTTGATCAACAACCCTTTGTTCGGTGACAGTGAGGTGAGGATATTGTTGTGTGAATATGTGGTGTAGTTGTTGTCTGTATGCTGTCATGTTTGTTTCGAGTCTTGTGATGGTGTAGTAAGTGCGGATGATAAACTCGTTCATTTCTGTTGTCCATTTCATCCGTTGGCGTGGTTTTCCAGCCTTTGTGGTCTGTGGATGAATTGCCACAGAAACACCAAGGCTAGGTTGATTCCTCACATCTATTGAGGGCATTGCAGTAGCCATGCTTGGGCCGGCGCTGCTTTCGCCACCGGTAACCAAGGGAGACTGTGGCCTATTTTTCGAACGTGAGCCTCTGCCTAACCCACGAACGCGGACCTTGTTAACCCGGGCGACGTCCGAGCCGGTATCACACTTTGATCTGGTTACTACCATTATGATTATTATTATTATTATTATTATGAAATGGAAGGAGGCTGGCTGTCTGAGAGGACTTCGCCAAGAAGGAAGGTGAGAGTAAGGTAAGATATGAAGAGTTTAGGAAAAGGTGGGGAATGGAAGGGAGCGAAGGTTGGGATGAGTAAAATTAGGGGGAAGGAAAGGTGAAGAAAGAGCTGAGGGGGAATTTAGAGTAGGGTGTAAACAAAGTCTTGATATGCGGTGTAGAATTTAAGGCTAAGACAATATACAATATCATATATAACAATAAATGTCATTCAGGCCAGACGAATGGATACAATAACTAACTACCAATGAGAGTAGCAACACACAATATGCAAACATATTAACAAGATGAGAACAAGAAATTACAATGATGTTTCACAGTTGAATGCAAGAATATGAGACACATTTGAATGCAAGAATATGAGACACATTTGAATGAGACATGCATTATCCAGTTCTTGTTAGTGAGTTGGTTGTGTTTCTGTACTCCAACAAGTTCCATGTCCTTACAAAATTTGAGAAAATTCTGTAGGTCTCCTTGTTTTTACACGGGGAGCTGAGTTCCATACGCCATGCCAAACCATTTTGTATGCAGTGTCAAATAAGCCGTACCTTCTGATTTTCATACTGTTAAATTTCTCTCCTGTCATTACCTACATGTGTAGCAATGATTTGTGTTATATAAACTTTTGTATTTGCATTGTGTAGCAACGCTTCGTATCATATAACCATTGTATTATTTTTTATAATAAATAAACGGCCATGACATGGCGTCTTTTATCAAGCCCGCCACTTTTTAGTTCGGTATGATTTGAAACGGATCAAAGTAGTCGTGTATGATTTTTTAAACTTGTAAGGTATCCTACTCACTATCTGTGAACACATAACTTGCAACAGTGATATATTCAACAGGTTATGGGCCCAGACACAGGTATTTACTGAGTGAATAATGAGACAAAGTTTTATTTTACGGAACGGGTTTATTTAGAATACGTGTACAAGAACGAAGACAAGATGGCCGACAGTGTGAAAACGGTCATCACGAAGTTGAACAGGAATAATTATCCAGCTTGGAGGTTTAAAATGGAGCTGCTACTTATTGACAGTGACTTATCGGATGTTGTATGCAATCCACCACCTGAACCACAGACGAATGAATGGAAACTAAAAGATGGAAAAGCAAGAAGTAAAATAGGTCTCATGGTAGAAGATTCGCAATTACAAGTCATCAAAAAGGCAAAAACTTCAAAAGAAATGTGGGAATCGTTAGAAAAATACCATCGAAGATCAACACTTACACAAATGTAAGTCTGTATAAGAAATTATTTCACTTAATTAATTAATTAAAGTATAAAGAGGGGCAGGATATGGAACGACATTTAAACAGCATAGAAGATTTAGTAGATGAGTTGACCGCTTCGGGAGAACAAATGAGTGACAGACTCATGGGAATTCTCATGTTGGGAAGTTTGCCTGATAATTATAATGAATTAACGACTGCTCTTGAGGCAAGAGCAAATACGGACCTCCCTCTTGGATTCGTAAAAATTAAGATCATGGAAGAGTATGAGAAGCAATCAAGAGGATCGCTTGGACATACCATGAATATGGATGAAGCAACGGCTTTGAAAACAATGGTCCGTAAACAGAAAACCGGATGTTACAATTGTGGGGTTCCCATTTAAAAATGTATTGTCCTGAATTGGGCAGAGGAAAGAAAAAGAAAGAATACAAAGTAAAATTAACTGAAGTCCAGGAAGAGCCTGATCTGTTGGACACACGAATGCCACTATGCATGTGTGAGCACAAAAATATGCCATTAGGTATGAACCAATGTTTTGCTGTGAAGACTACAAGGGATTGATATGTTGATTCAGCAGCAACAGCTGACATGACAAACAACAGGAACTTCTTCAGAAAATTAAACAACAACAGCAGTGAAATCGTTCAGGTGGCTGGTGGAAGAGAAGTGCCTGCAAGCGGAATTGGACATGGTGAACTAATTTGTGATGAAGGTAGTTCAAATGGCAAGTTAAAATTAGATAATGTGTTATATGTACCACAACTAAATGAGAATTTATTGTCGGTCTTAAAAATGATGCAAAGAGGTTATGGTGTGTATTTCGACAGCAAAACAGTGCAGTGCTACATAAAACGAGATGGCGAGACACATGCAAAGGCTGAGCTTCGGGGATCACTATTTGTGTTGAGTCAACACAATGCCTTACAAGTATTATCCATGCCCAAGAAACAGTGTGTACATCTGTGGCACTTGAGGTATGGCCACCGTGATCCATCTGTAATGCGTTATATGACTATATAAATAACATCAACTCATAGCCCGAGTAGATACATCACCAAACGATCGCCTAAATATCGGGCTATAATACGGCTAATTAAATGATTGGAATAAAGTAATTTGACACTTGAGGTAGACGTTAGGCGCCATCTCTTAAATAAATTAATAATTAAAATTAAATAAATAAATTTAGAACCTTCTGGAATAAAAGAATATACGATATTTAGGCGATCGTTTGGTGATGTATCTACTCGGGCTATGAGTTGATGTTATTTATATAGTCATATAACGCATTACAGATGGATCACGGTGGCCATACCTCAAGTGCCACAGATGTACACACTGTTTCTTGGGCATGGATAATACTTGTAAGGCATTGTGTTGACTCAACACAAATAGTGATCCCCGAAGCTCAGCCTTTGCATGTGTCTCGCCATCTCGTTTTATGTAGCACTGCACTGTTTTGCTGTCGAANTTCTTTTATTCCAGAAGGTTCTAAATTTATTTATTTAATTTTAATTATTAATTTATTTAAGAGATGGCGCCTAACGTCTACCTCAAGTGTCAAATTACTTTATTCCAATCATTTAATTAGCCGTATTATAGCCCGATATTTAGGCGATCGTTTGGTGATGTTATATGACTGCCGAAAGTGTTGAGGGTGTGACAATTAATGATGTGGATACACTGTGGGATAAGAAAGTTTCAAGTCACAAGGTAAACTGACAAGATACAAAGCCCGTCTGGTGGCACAAGGCTTCAGTCAAAAATATGGGGAGGATTATGACCAGTGGCAAAATCAACAATCCTTAGGATTGTGCTCACTTTAGCAACTAAACGTAAAATGCATGTGAATCACTATGACATTGAGACAGCTTTCTTGAATGGCGACGTACACCACACAGTGTACAGTACATGCAGCAACCTAAAGGCTACGACACAGAGGAACCGATCAAAGTTTGCAAGCTTCTGAAAAGTCTTTATGGATTGAAACAGGGAGCTACTGTGTGGAAAAAAAATTGCATGAAGTACTGACTGAATGTGGTTTTGCGCAGAGCATAAATGACCCTTGTCTGTACACCGGAAAAAGATGCTATGCAACAATGTACATCATTGTACATGTTGATAATGTAATTGCAGCATCAACCTCCAAAGAAGCGTTAGATTCGCTTGAAATGGAAAATAACAAATATTTCCACATGAAAAACCTCGGAAATATCGATCATTACCTCAGAATCAAATTTGATCGAGATGATGACGGAATATTCCATCTAAATCAAAAACATTTTATAACTGACAAACTAGTAGAATTTGGACTTCAAGGCGCAAAGACCAGCAAGATTCCCCTTGATCCTGGATATTTCAAAATTAAAGAGCGAGAATCAAGAATGGAAAGTAATAAACTGTACTTGAAGTGTATAGGTATTGTGAAGTGGTTGGGTTCAATGTAATTGAGTAATTTTCTTCTCTCCATCCATACTGGCAGGTGATGGATTGAGGGAAGGGAACCATAGATGAACCTGTCAGTAGTGGAGCTAGTCCACTCAGTTTGCCATTCATCCAGGATATGGCTATTGATATAGATATAGGTAATAGGAATTTAGGAGAAGGAGCACCCAATGTTTTGAGTAGCCGCCTTGTTTGCCAGCGAATCCGCTTGCTCATTCCCGCTGATCCCCGAATGCCCAGGGACCCAGTTGAGCATTAGCTGGTTGGATTTAGCCCGGTTCCTTAGGAGGTGTTTGATGTTAAGTGCACTTGTTGCTGGTAATAGTGTAAAGGACATAATTGCTATCCATATTTATACTGATGTTTCCCTGTAAACATTTTTATTACTAGTTATTCGCAGTAGAGCCCTATAAATAGCAAGCAACTCTGCTTGGTTGTTGGAACATTGGTTCATCAATTTAAGGTACTGTTGGTAGTTAACCTTTGCGTTGCTGTCATAAATCACAAAGGCAGCCCCTGTTCCTTTCTCACTCCTGGACCCATCGGTATAAATTTGCCACTTAACATTACAGTCCTGACAGAATTTATCCTGTAAGCAATTTCTTCCCCTGGGTGAAAATTCGTTTTGTAGCCAGAGTAATTGCCATCCAACATGTAAATTTTTATGCTGTTTATCAAATCCTCACACTTCGGGAGTTATGCCTCTTAGAGCATAGCTCCCTGATACTCTCCACAGAGATATTGTGGAAGTCCATATTAATTAGATTCCACTGACAACAGGCATCCTTAATTTTTAGGTAGATTGGGATCAAGTTGGAAATTACCATCAGAGCATGTGTGGGAGTCGTACAGTAGGCACTACAAATTCTGATGGCTGCCCCTCTTTGGACTGAGAGCAGCTTCCTTCTATTGTGGACTTTGTTTGCACTGCTTTGTTTGCCATATCGGAGCTGCATAGAGGATAGCAGGCTCAATGGCCCCCTTATAAATTAGCCTGCAGTTATTAGTACATATTCCCCATGTATTTCTCGCAATGTGCTGAAGGAAGTTAGTCCGTTACTTCATCCTCTTGCACAACTCAGTGATGTGGTGTTTTTAGCTGAGAGTAGGGTCAAAATATACCCCCAGATATTTTAAGTGTGGTACTATTTCGATTTTTTCTGTTCAAATACAGGCAGAGTGGCCTCTGGAGCTGCATTCTCCTACTACGCTTAGTGCATACCAAAGCCTCACACCTATTATAATTTATAGGTAGTTTGTTTTGGTGACTCCACTCCCCAACTGAGTGTTTGGAGGGCAACCTCTCTATCACATGGTCTCTATCTTAGCGCCGCTATTCTTCACTCAAGACTTCAGGCGGCCTTAGTTTATGTTATTAACATCTGCAAGCCAACGTCGGGATCTGCTTTATTCTGTACAGTTTTATTTTGGCTAATTGTAAAGGGCATATATATGTTCAACCCACTCTAATGTGTATTTTCTGTTTAATTGTGCTATGTACTTTTGATTATTGTATCTCCTATGTAATATCTGGACTGCTGCGTCAGTTTTGCAATGGTGATTGTTACCTCTATTATTCAGTTCCCAGCCGTCCTCATGTGATCCCTTTTACTTTTTTTTTCTCTTCCCCCATTCCTCTCCTCCTCCTCCTCCTTCCTCCTTCTTCGGGCTATATGTATTGGTAAGCCGTCTCTTTCACAACTGTCAACTGTCAACTGACTCCACTCCCCCAACTTCTTTAAAATATCATTTGCTTTGCTGTGAAGGATACCACTGTTCTGATGGGCTATCATAACCAGGGTGTCATCCGCAAAACAATGCACTTTGATGTTCTGGTATGCTGGGAAACCTTCCACGAGGTCATCATATACCAAATTCCAGATGCCTGGACCAGAATTTCTAATTTTAGAGTTTCAATTTTTTTAATGACTTTTTCTATTATGTGAAAGGTTTCAGTTATATCTAAAAAATTATTTTTATTACAATTTATTAACCTATAGCATTAATTAATTACAAAATCTCTATATTACAAAATTTCACTTGTTACATAATTTATTTTATATTTTTTTAGTATATTTTAAGTACAGATCTCCCTTGATAGTCCGACGTTTTTTAATCCTACATGCTCAGTAGTCCGACGCACCTCCCGTCAAGGTATCTGTTCTTGTTATGTGTCTGCTTGCACAGAAGCATGTGAATCTCCCCATCCAATTACACGATGACACACATTTCGTGTGTTTTCTGTGAGCAGTTCTGTTCGAACAGTTGGAGTAGGGAATATTGTAAGCTACTGCTAGCAAACCAGTGCAAAATATGTAATTATTTTCGGTAATCCAAACATTTTTGGTAATCCAACACCCCTTTGGTCCCATACCTGTCAGACGATCAAGGGAGAGCTGTATTAATGTCTCTAAGAAAAAATTTATTCAGGGGAGAGAGATAATTTAATTTAATGTTCAAAGAATTAATATATGATATTATTCTGATTTTACAGCAAAAAATAATTCTGTTTTGAAAATAACATTAATATTTAATAAACAATATTAATGAGTATAAATTTTAATATTTGTAATTGTAATAGAAATTTTTCGGTATTGGATTCTTTAGGAAAACCATCGGGTATTTTCAGTGGAAAGGCATGGTTACACGGAGATTACGATCAATGCTTAAATACAGAAGTTAAAGACGATAAAATTAAGAAGACCGGTAAAAAACTTAACTCGTTTCATGGAAAATTCTGTTCACTCAATATTAGGTTAAAACCGTATAAATTTGGAGATATCTTAGAAGATATTAGAGAAAGAGAATTATACAAAAATTTGAAGTATTTATCTGTAAGTATTGACGTCACACTGTGAAATTATACAGGCCAATTTATATATTTTCCTATATTGCAGCAACCAATTCCATACAGTAAAGTTGTAGAAGTCGTTAGTTATATGAAGGTACCTATCGTGTATATTTGAAGCCTATCGTGTGGATATTTGTGTACCGAGTAGGCCTACATGTAATGGAGAAGATGTAGAAAATATTCTATAATGGGGTAAGTTAACAAGAACAATAAATAATACGTCAGATATTATTCAGATACCTTTTTTATGAAATTTGTTATTTGTACGATATTCTTGCTCGTAGTTTATAAATACAGTAGATCCCCCTATAAAACGGGTTCATATAATACGGATTCGTGTAAAACGGCGAAAAAATTGCGATCGTATTCGAATAAACAGGCTAAAACAGTCTCGTATGATACGGTAAAACGTCATCGCCGACTTGTGTCGCGACAGGATTGGTCGAATCTAGACCAATAGCGGATATTGTACAAACCATTGAATTTAAACGAGCAGCAAATCTAGTAAAACCATTTATTATTTAACGGCCATAAAAATTATATTTATAATAATGATTTTTCCAAAGTTCAGCAAATTTTTCGCAGAAAAATAAGTTATCAGGAAACACGCACCCTCCGTTCGATGCGCCGCTCCGCGACGAAAACAAGCTTAAGCAATGGCGTTGTCGAACGGTGCACACTCGGTAAGTAATCCTACAATTTTTTGTTTATAGCATAGTTTATA